CATTCAAAATAATCCCCAGTTTTCCTCGAACATTAGGTCACCTACAAACCAAACTAAATAAACTCACCAACAGAAAACTGACGCCTTGAAACTGTATAAAGATTGTGCTAACTTAAAAATGGCTGTATAATTTTGGGAGTCTAAAACGGAAAATAGCCCAATGGCTGAGTTCTGAGAACCAAATTATCCTGTTACCTAAACAACAGGCAGCATACCAAAGAACAATAAAACACCGTCTATTTCAATGAAAATACTACTAAACCTACCTCCGATACCTGATCAGAAAAACCAAACTGCAGTTTTATCAATCACGGCTCTCTCACAAAGAAATCTCATAAAACTATAATTTTCGATAAAATGCAAAACTATGATAGTTATAATTCCGCCCATAGTCGGCGTTCTAGTAGTGGCATTTTGCGCCCATTTATAAAGTCGCATTGTTCAGTGTGTAACTGCATGTTCTCTCCCGTGCTAGTAGCAATTAATAACCTCAAGTTTTAATGTATTAAGCTGAGTTTTATTGAAAATTCGTTGGTACGTTGCAAAGAAACTAGATTTGATAGTCAGAAGTAAAGAGTCCGAGAAATGATCTCAACATCGAGAAGTACAGCATTTGCAAATATAAACTCTGGCAAGGGGTGTCCTCAAGGAGGAATATTCTCGCCTCTGCCGTGGAATGTGGTAGTAACGACCTCATAATCAAACTAAATGAAAGAATCTATACTCAAGGCTATAAATATGACACTATTCTTATACTACACGGACACTCTGGATCAAGGTATGGTCTTGAAGAAGAAAGCAAATTCAGTTGTTACGGCCAAGCTTTCGACCTATTCTCAGGTCATCATCAGGGCAAAACTATCTTAAATATGCCTACATATTGACAAATTTAAGTTTTTTACAGGCGACCTCAAATTTCCTTGAATACCGACTTAGTCCCAACATTGACAAGGACTGGGAACCACACTATGTAAAGTTGTAAGACCCAAATTGTCCTATGCTACCTAAGCATAGGGCAGCATACAATGACCTTAGGGCAATGGAAACACCATCTATTTCAATAGAAATACTGCTCAACCTACCTCCATTGGAAATATTTGCACACGGAGAAGCGAGAAAAGGCTGATTTAAGCTCCAGAAATAATCAAACGATGGAAACTAAGCACATCGGGCACGCTGCGATAATCAATAAAATCAGACTCCCATTCTTAAAAATGGACACCGGACTACAGGATGCCGGAAACACTCTTTACAAAATCCTACAAAATATGAAAAGATTACAAAGGAGAAGAAGAATCGATGAGAAAATCATGTACAGTCACTGTATACACATGGAACCACACACTCCAAAACAAATGAAGGAACCGGAGAAGTTTCTTGTACAAGACCAAAATATGAGCAGTGAAACTCATTAGGGAAAACACCTAGGTCTTTCAAGCTGAAATATATGCCATCAATGCTTGTCGGCTAGCCACATCTATGTTAATCAGTGAATTCATCCAAAATCTCCTATACCTAGGGAAACACAACAGCCTGATGATATCTTGGTTACCAAGATACGGGAATTTTGGGTAACGAAAAAGCAGACACTCGCCAGAGGGAGATTTGCAAGAGCTTAAATAGGCCCTGAACTTATTCTTCGAACAATAAAAACAAACACAGAATGGATCCAAAAAAAGAAAGAAGGAAAATAGAATCATAGAAAATATTAAAAAAGGTTAGACTGAAAAAATCCTTGTAAGATCGGATAGATACACAGCAATTAAAGCATTAGCATGTAAAAAAAATCATATCAAAATTAGTCAGTGAATGCATCCAAAATCTCTAATACTTGGGGAAACACGACCTGATGATATCTTCGGTACCAGGAGACAAAGGAATTTTGGGAAAAGAAATGGCAGGAGGATCTGCAAAACCATATACAGACCCTGAACCTATTCCTCGGATAGCGAAAACAAACCATCCAAGAATGGATCCAAAAAAGACAAAAGGAAAGATGAGTAAACTCTAGAGGTCCAAGTGCACTGAAAGCTTATGCTAAAACAACCATTATCATAACTGGCAAACTCACTGCTTCAGTTAGAGTGAGTGCTCAACTCAGAGGATTGATAGGACTTAATCTCCACATTAAAAATAATGACCACTATTCCTTACAATTCTATCATCATCACCTTATCAGAGGAGTGATAAGACTTAATCTCCACATTAAAAATAAAGACCAGTTTTCCTTATAATACAATCATCATCACGTTATCTGATGAGTGATAGGACTTAATCACCACATTAAAAATAAAGACCAGTTTTCCTTATAATTCAATCATCATCACCTTATCAGAGGAGTGATAAAACTTAATCTCCACATTAAAAATAATGATCCTTTTCCGTATAATTCAATCATCAACATCTCGTTAGGTGAGTTCATGGCAGGACTTTTATGAGGCCTTTTATGTGACCTTTTTCGTCTTATAAGGTAATTTATAAAAAAAGATCAATTAATCAAAATAATCAAATTCTACGGCCTTAATGCGAAATCGTGACAAAATTCTTAGTTAAAATAGCGGTAACAAAATGTTAGTGCCTGATGGAAGATGTACTGTAGTTGGGTTATTTCTGACAAAAATTTCTTAGCGGTCGACAAAATAAAAATGTATTAAAATAAGCTTAATAACCTAATTAAATACAGCCCCCTTTGAGCTGAAACTTTTCCTCAAAACCATTAAAAATAATGGCCCGTTTTCCGAGAAGGAAATTCCACGGCAGGCGTTCTCAGATGGCCTGGGGTCGATGAAGCATTTCATCGATCAGCGGTTTAAACAAGAATTTCAAAATTTAATTAAGATTACTGAGAATTTCTAGAATTGTACGATATCGAATCGAGCCGTCAAACTTTTCCCACATTCCAGACAATAACCAATCGGATTTCAAATATAAATCCTTCGAGAAATTATGATCTCATAACACGTTTAATATTCTTTTTGTATAATCTATTAATAAAAACGTTAATTTTTAGAAAATATATTATAATCCCTTCCTAAATTGAAGGTTTTGCCCTCCATGGTGACCTTTTTTTCTCAAGAATTTTCACAGGGGAAACGCAAACAAATTTGAAAGAGAAATAAAGGCACACGATTTTCCGATGTCTTTTTAATCAAAATATCATTTAGATCAACAACAACAAGAATTAAAATGCACTTAATCGATCTTAATTGATACCAAAGAGCTTAACCATGCCACAGCTATGAAAGGGACAATTTTGGATTTTTATAATTGTATTACTAAGCAGAATTTTCCTTGGAAAAAATATATTTTTATAATAATAAAGTATTTCATATACTTTTTATATCCAATTCGTTCAGTCGCAAATATTTCAAAATCATCCACTCTCGCAAGATGGATAATAAATTCCACAAAATAACTTTTAACGTCATTTAGAAAATTAAAGCATCGTAAATCTTTATTAACTTAAGAAAATAATATTTAAAAACAAATAACTAGGACACACAGAAAAGACATGACCATGCCGATTCACAAGGGAGAATAGGAAAGCACATGCGAGCACATCGCTTTGATCCCTCCCAGAATAAAATACAACTTCGCTTAGGGCCGCCTGTGAAGTCCTTGTTTTATCCAATTCTCCCTTAATGTTTCCGAGTCCTCAAATACGAAACATTTTATTAATATATAACATCATAAATTCTCATAGAGGGAAATTTCGATCTATAAAAAAATCTTAACATGAGGATTTCATGTTTGAAACACATTTGTAGAAAATAATATATTTTGAGACCTGTTCAAATTTCCGTTTCGCGTTTTACCCTATGCATACGGTTGGGGCGAAGTCAATACCCGATGCATCATAGTTGGAGAGTAAATATGGTTTTCCAGTCTGAAATCATAACGATTTCCAGGGAAATTAAAACTCTAGGAATACATTCCCGGAAGATAGCCATCTTCTCTGACTGTCAGGCAGCACTAAAGGCCCTAACCTGATGCAAGGTGAAGGCAAAGAATGTTTGGAACTGCATGGAGGCCCTGACGGAAGTCAGTGACACTAATGACCTGATCCTGGCAGGGTCTCTGAGCACTCGGGGCAAACAGGCAACAAAAAGGTTGACAGGTTGGCCAAAGAGGGGGGGGGGCAACATAGATTCTCTGGGTCCTGAACCCTACTGTGGCTTAGCACCTTGCCACAATGGCCACAAATACATCTTAAAATTGATCCTTAATGAGTCCAAAAATTGGTGGAACAATATCAACGGTATGAGGCGCGCGAAGAGATTTATAGAAGGACCATCCGAAAAACTCACACAAGAATTACTGAAAGGCAATCGAAACCGAACCAGGATTCCGGTTGGACTCCTGACATGGCACTGCAACCTAAGAAGGCACATGCACCGGACAGGCGTGCAGCCGGAAGAAACACAGATACTGCCAGGAAGAGGAGGAGACCGCAGACACATTTATGTTTCGGTGAAGGTCTATGTAGGTGCAGGTTCTTGCATCTAGGACAGGAAAACCACAAGCAAGATCCTACACTAAGGAGCCGCTGGGCTATGGAGGTTGATTATCAACCTTAAGCTGTTCAGTGAGTTAGAAAAAAAACAGGAGAGCACAATTACTCTACTCAGATCGAGGCAGAAGGCCTTGTGCCGCCTCTTTTATCCCTATCCCTGTTGGGAAAAGTAAATACCCCATGTCTACGTGATGATACCTACGTTCGGGGGCAAACCGGGTAGGTACTCTAATAAATATCTTCGGGACGCATGCGGTATAATCCATAAACTGTTATTACTCCCCGGGACGCATGGGTTACCCAATCGTTTTATATGGTTCTTATCTTTAATCTCAGCTTAAAGAACGAATCCTAAAAAAAATCGTGACATTTCAAGATCAAAGGGACCGGTTTTTAATTTGTCTAATTGATTTATCGTGGAAACAACATTTTAAACTAAAAGAAGAGCTTTCTTATTTTAAGGAAAAACAATTAATTCAATACTCACTCCCCATACATCGGCATTAAGACATACCTGAAACAAAATAAAAACGTTAGTAAAAATGTCAATTTGAGAAATCTCTAAATATCTAGTTCAACTATTCAAATATAAACATCCCAAAGCCCAAATGGAAATTGTGATTTCCGCTTCGAGAACACAAATAGAAAAAAGTTATTTTTAGAACGAACACGTTCTCTCTTTATAAACAATCAAACATTAGAACGAATATTTGAAATATAAATGGCTATTTTGTTATTTTCAACATATCCGAGATAGATTACAATCCAGGAATAATATAGTCAATCACTGTAATAGAATAACTAACTACAGGGCAGAGTTTACTCTTAACATGATTTATTTAAACTTAATAAAATACGTAACATTTATAGCGTACGTGGATCCACTAATAAATAAAATATACGAACGATTAAAAGGGATCCATGCTAAAAAAGGCCGGATCAGCGGACGGGCCACCCACCCAATATGCTCAGCGTGATGAGATTAATGACAAATTCTGTTACGAGATAAATTGGTAAATCGCTGAACACACACTTCTGCCAAATTACGGCAGATACAGGCTCTGCTCCACGGAGAACGGCTCCAGAAATGAAAGGGTCACACTACATAAACATTAGGCAACATGGGCACCTTGCTAAAAAGAGACCGTTTCAATGATCATGCAGAAAAATAGAATCCTGTGGAGGTGTAGAGCTAGGGAGTCCGTGCTGACTTACGAGTGTTTTTGCAGTATTGGGCTATCAGGGGTTATAGCCTGATATGTATATACAGGGTGAATTGCTACTCGTGCTACAAACTTCTCCAGTAGATTCTTCACCCTAAAATGAACAAAAAAGTTCATATTGTCCATGGTCCGATTCTCAACCATTTNGTAGTTCTGGCTGAAATAAAACACAAAAAATTAGCCCAAACATTTTGCCACCGTCATCTTCTTATTGAAAAATTAACGGGAATTTCAACGGTGCTATTAGCAATTCACCCTGTATATACACACCCATTTTTTTAAATCCCGAGACACATTAAACTTTGATTTTTTTGCCTAGTTTCTCATGAGCAATAAAGTTCCGATCCAACCCTCAAGATAGATAACGGGATACGAAAGGAACTTGACTATTTCAAAAGGCAAGGTACTCATCAATCTCTATAACAGCTTCAGGTTGATAATCAACCTCCATAGTTTTGACTTATCTTGCTTGCGGTTTTTCTTGTCCCAGTTGCAAGAACCTGCACCTACAGACACTAGACCTTCACAGAAACATAAAATATGTTCTGCGGTCGCCTTCTCTTGGCAGTGTCTGCACAGTGTTTCTTCTGTCCGTACTCCTACCCGGTTCAAGTGTTTTCTTAAGTGGCAATGAGCTGAGAGGAATCCAACCAGAATCCTGGTTCGGTTGTGGTTTTCTTCCAGTAATTCTTTTGTAATTTTTGCGGATGGTTCGGAGTTCCACCAGGTTTTGGGCTCATTTTAAGGTGGATCCCATTTTTTGCCAACATGTCAACCTTTTCGTCCAGGGTCAGGTCATTCAAGCACTTTTTGCCTTAATTTTGGAGCAACTGTTCTCAAGTTATTCACAAAACGCCTTTTCGGAACACCGGTTTTCAGATAAACGAAATCTTCACTTCTTCAACCAATCACCGATTTATTTATCATTTTGATTGTTGGGAAATTAATTGCTCGTGATGTAGAATCCAAAAAGAAAAATAGAGAAAAAGATAAATTTCGGCACAATTTCCCCAATAACATCGATTTACAAGACACTCAGGACGTATGATAGCTCATTAAACCGGGATTCCGCCTGGTGCAAATTTCGGTTAACAAACATATACTTAAAGAAATTAATGCCAGACAAACAAAAACAAACAAAAATTGATTTGTTGCCCTTTGTATGTACGTTGATGAGCATCTTGCCATTTGAAATAATCATGTTCCTATCCATATCCCGTTAATCTGAGAATTACATCGAAAATTAGTGCTTAATGAGGAACTAGACAAAAAATAACAATTTATGTGCTCGCGGTTTTTCACAACAACGCCACCACAAAAAAAAATAAATAAATAAAATAAAGGAAACAAAAGAAAAACTCACCCTGAATAGTATATGTTTATGTGTTGTGTGTTCTGTGTTGATGTAAATTGTTAGTATAAATGATGGGCCCCATTCCGAGGAATAACGAGTATTCTAGGGTAAGAGTGAGACGTCTACAGAGTGACGGTAATTTATTAGCGTGAATGGGAGTTTAAACTGAGGTATATAAAATTTTGTAAAAGAGAAAATTAAACGCTTTATTATTATTAGTATTAATTAAGGTTTTTAGTTGAGATGAAAAAAAGTTAATGGCACGAGAGGGATTCGAACCCACGACCTTCGGCTAGATACGCCGCTGCTATACCACCTGAGCTATCGTGACCTCGATCCACTCGGACATCAACTCCCCATCTCAACCCCACCTTATGAGTTTTCCCTCGTTGAGATGGGGAGTTGATGTCCGAGTGGATCGAGGTCACGATAGCTCAGGTGGTAGAGCAGCGGCGTATCTAGCCGAAGGTCGTGGGTTCGAATCCCTCTCGTGCCATTAACATTTTTTCATCTCAACTAAAAACCTTAATTAATTGTAATGTATTAATTGGTCATGCGGACCACGAAATTAGTGAATTGAATGGAATTATTATTAGTATTATAATAATTATATATAATACTACATGGACGTAAGTACGCAGTGAACAATCCCACTTTCCGGAATCAGTGTTGTCCGCAGTGTAACTCAAAAACGGGATGGAGGGAAAAATCGTTTTCCATACATAATTATAAAATATGTTTATATCGAAATACAAATATCCGAAATTATTGAGGTTGTTTATGCCAAAGTAATTAGCGTAAATATTTTGTTTCCGTTGAAATGCTGACCCATTCCCTTACGCATTAATCCCTCAAACGGGCCGATAAGGGACTGTGTCCGTAACTTGCTACCGTCGTGATTTGCTCCCATGCGTCCGAGGTTTCTAAACAAAAAGAAACCGTCTTGCTTCCGTGCTTCCGTGCAAACATACATAGTGTTAGCATTTCTTACTTCAAAGCTCAAAAGTTATTTTCAGTTTAGTTTTCTTTTAGTTTCAAATCACGGGAGTGATATCTGCCAGCCATCGATAGAAAAGGTTCGGACGGAGCCTAGCAGGTATCGTAGTAATCTAAGCCGTCATATTGTTTATGTTGAGGTTTAGGTGCTGTATTTTTTTCTGGCTCGACGGAATGCACGATATCCATCAAAAATAGTTAAAAGTTACGCTAGGTAACTACCGTGCATTTTATATGATGATGTAAAGTACGATCGAAAAAAAAACATGGAAGGTGGTCTGGAGTAAAATGTTGCGAGAAGGAAGTGTTTTCAAAATTGATTTATTTCACATACACCCCCGTCAATTATGAACGTCGGAAAATCTACAAGGTGAAATGTCATGTGCCTTTTGAAATTTTCAAGGATATATTCAGTGAAATATGTCTGCATTTTGCCTTTACTCGGATATTTACAATATGTGACAATATGCTGTGTTGCCAAGTGGCGATGTACGAATCCGGACATGTGCCTGCGTACCATTGAACGAATTTATTATTGTTTCTTTTGTGCGTTTTTTTCTGGGTCAAGGGCGCCGTTTTCATTCAATGTTGTGTTTGCCAGTCTTCGTAAACGGCCCTCCCTGATATTAAGGGAAAATTGAGAACGATGGGTGTTTGTCAGAAGAAATTGACGAAACAGGATCTTCAGGAAATTGCCGAAATGGGCTACAGTCTCCACTCAACGACACTCCGGACGTTCCCCCTTCAAAGGGAGATTTGTTTGTTCTCAGTTATGACCTGCTTGACGGCAAAATTAGGAAGAAGCGGTACAAAAAAAAAGGAGGGGGATGGTTTATACGAAATTAAACTCCAAGTATCAAAGAAGAAATTTTGAATCGAAATGCGCAGCAATTGTTCTTTCAAATAGTTCAATAAACGGCCCCGAAGGTGCTCAGTATATCAGTCAGTTGTAATGAGTTCGCTTCAATTTCTCCAAAGAATTATTGAAACGGAGGCGTTGGCCCAGCAGAAAACTGGCCCGAAGGACGAAAGCTTCAAATTAATCAAGGAGGAAAAAATGGAAAATGGATACTAAAAATGATGAACCTTTTCAACACGTTTTGGCTCAAAATAATTGATTTAGAAATGAAACTAACTTAAAAACCTTACCGCCACGTTCAAAGAAACCAAAATGATCTTCTGTATTTGACAATTAAGCACAGGTTGATCGAGATTCTAACAAGCAGATCCGTTCTTTCCTACGCCTCCAAAAGAGAGCTCGAGTCCTTCCATTGTCGGAGGAGGGCCTTGAGCCGATGTTGCCGTAAGTACGCGATATAATTTTCCATATGGTATAACCTAAAGATTGCATCTTTCTATTTTGGGAAGAGAGTTCCATCGTCAGTTTGAATATAAAAGTCATTACTATACCTTGTACTAGGTACTAATTCACCGACATGGATGCTCACTTCGTGGACTAGCCATCAACCAAATACTCCGAGGTCTCATATCCAATGAAATCCTCCTCCATGTAATTCCATTATATTAGGTCAATTTTAGTGCAATAAGCTGTACCACTAACCGGAGTAAAGTAACCAAAGCGCTAAATGACAAATATTGTCCACATCTGAATATTATTTCCTAAACCAAAAAACGCTCACCTCGCGTACAAAGAAACTAAATGATTGTACGTATTCGACAATTAAGCACAGGTTGTTGGAGATTCCAAAAAGCAGGTCAGTTCTTTCCTATGCCTGGTCCAGAAGAGAGGTCCAGTACTTCCATTGTCGGAGGGGAGTTGATGGTGCCATAAGTACGCGATTCAGTTTTCCATATGGCATGTCGTATCGAGTGCAACTTTCGCTTTTAGGAAGAAAGTTCCATCCTCATTCTGGATCTCAAATTCAATACTGTACCTTGCATTACGTACTAATTCACACACATCGATGCTCACTTCGTTGG